TATGCTTCCAGGATGGCCTTGGGGACTGCCCCACCCTTGGAGACTTAACCCCTGGGTCATAACTTTGAAATGGTTAAGATCCCCACCCCAAAACTATATATACAATTGTTGGGCATAAAGAGACAAATGCAGTCATGATATTAGAATTGACCCCAGGGTTTGCCCCACCCTTGCAGACTTAACCCCTGGGTCATAACTTTGAAACGGTTGAAATCCCCACCCCAAAACTATATATACAAATGCTGGGCAAAAAGAGACAAATGCAGTCATGATATTAGAATTGATCCTGGGGTCTGGCCACAACCGTAGGGACCTAGTTTCTGCGTCACAGCTTGGAAACAGTTGAGATCCCCACCCCATAACCATACATAAAATTGCTGGGCATGAAAAATTGAATACAGATATATATGCTACAAGGATTGGCCTTTGGGTCTGGCATATTCCCTTGGATCTCATTTGGAGAATATTCTGCCATGATTGCTTAGATATCAAGGTGAGCGATACAGGCCCTATGGGCCTCTTGTTCATGTTTACTTTTGAAACTGATCAGTTAAACAAAATGGCCTACTGACAGCCATCTATGATTATTTCGACATTGAAGGTTTTGTTAGTACTATTTCTCAGGAATAACTTCAGGGATCTTTCTCAAATTTGATATGTAGGTTCCCCTTGATCCCCTGCTGTACATGTTATATTTTGAGACTGATCATGAAAACAAAAAGACTAAAGGAAGAACTTAACAGATGGTGGGCGCCAAGATCCCTCTGGGATCTCTTGTATTTTTATTCCTTAAGAATTATATGAAATTCAAACCGCAGCTTGTCAACCACATAGAAAGTTGTCCTTCTTGTAGAGTTTAAATGAAAATGGAAAAACACAACCCCGATGAAATATAAATATTAAACATTTGCCATTAATGTAGGAAATAAGTCAAACTTTAGTAATCCGTTTCCTGACTTATCTCATCATTTCCCTCCTTTGTGTCCTAACTCGTCCAATCCTGTCTCCTAAACCAGTATCTCTCCTCTGCCTCCCACAGTATGAGCCTGAACAGTCTTGATGGTGATGAAGACACAGAAGACGATGATTATGTGGATGCAAAAGAGCCGCCAACCCCGCACATATCCCAGGGAGGTCTGGAGGCGGGGTTAGAGCACCCAAGAATCACCCCCTCACACATGGACGCACTAAGCATTTCGCCGGGGGAGTCGCCTTGCTCAAGTCCTAATGGTAGGTGTCGAAAGGTTATAGGCAAGGAAACCATATTTAGTGATATAGCTCTATAATCAAACCTTGGTATGAATTGACAACTGTTTGTCCACTATAGAATGTACAATAAGAAGTCAGAATGATGTCAATACTGTTATTAAGGTCAACCTTTATACAAAAATAAAAGATAAATAATTATATAATAATATTGTATTAGTTTCCTGATTTGTTGACTTGTGATTACAGATCAGGACCTGCCTGATGCCAGCATGTTTACCTCACCAGACTCGGTAGGGGAAACCTTGGTCAGAACACTATACGGTCTTAAACAGGAACTCATCTCACCCAGGGATAGAAAGGTACCAGTATGTTGTCTCGGTTAGTAATTGTTTATTGATAGAAAGGTACAAGTATGTTGTCTCGTTTAGTAATTGTTTGTTGATAGAAAGGTACCAGTATGTTGTCCCGTTTAGTAATTGTTTATTGATAGAAATGTACCAGTATGTTGTCTCGTTTAGTAATTGTCTATTGATAGAAAGGTACCAGTATGTTGACTCGTTTAGTAATTGTTTATTGATAGAGAGGTACCAGTATGTTGTCTCGTTTAATAATTGTTTATTGATAGAAAGGTACCAGTATATTGTCTCGTTTAGTAATTGTTTATTGATAGAGAGGTACCAGTATGTTGTCTCGTTTAGTTATTGTTTATTGATAGAAAGGTACCAGTATGTTGACTCGTTTAGTAATTGTTTATTGATAGAGAGGTACCAGTATGTTGTCTCGTTTAATAATTGTTTATTGATAGAAAGGTACCAGTATGTCGTCTCGTTTAGTAATTGTTTATTGATAGGATGGTACCAGTATGTTGTCTCGTTTAGTAATTGGTTATTGATAGAAAGGTACCAGTATGTTATCTCCTTTAGTAATTGTTTATTGATAGAAAGGAACCAGTATGTTATCTCGTTTAGTAATTGTTTATTGATAGAAGGGTACCAGTATGTTGTCTCGTTTAGTAGTTGTTTATTGATAGAAAGGTACCAGTATGTCGTCTCGTTTAGTAATTGTTTATTGATAGAAACGTACCAGTATGTTGTCTCGTTTAGTAATCGTTTATTGATAGAAAGGTACCAGTATGTTTTCTCGTTTAGTAATTGTTTATTGATAGGATGGTACCAGTATGTTGTCTCGTTTAGTAATCGTTTATTGATAGAAAGGTACCAGTATGTTATCTCGTCTAGTAATTGTTTATTGATAGAAAGGTAGCAGTATGTTGTCTCGTTTAGTAATTGTTTGTTGATAGAAAGGTACCAGTATGTTGTCCCGTTTAGTAATTGTTTATTGATAGAAATGTACCAGTATGTTGTCTCGTTTAGTAATTGGTTATTGATAGAAAGGTACCAGTATGTTTTCTCGTTTAGTAATTGTTTATTGATAGGAAGGTACCAGTATGTTGTCTCGTTTAGAAATTGTTTATTGATAGAAAGGTACCAGTATGTTTTCTCGTTTAGTAATTGTTTATTGATAGAAAGGTACCAGTATGTTGGCTCGTTTAGTAATTGTTTATTGATAAAACACAACTACAACTAAGATGGTGGGGGACCTTTTGGACGTTGAAGTGGGAGATCGTTGGGGACATTTTGGATGTTGAAGTGGGAGATGGTGGGGGACATTTTGGACGTTGAAGTGGGAGATGGTTGGGGACATTTTGGATGTTGAAGTGGGAGATGGTGGGGGACCTTTTGGACGTTGAAGTGGGAGATGGTGGCGGACCTTTTGGACGTTGGAAGTGGGAGATGGTGGGAAACATTTTGGACGTTGAAGTGGGAGACGGTGGGGGACATTTTGGACGTTGAAGTGGGAGGTGGTGGCGGACATTTTGGACGTTGAAGTGGGAGGTGGTGGCGGACATTTTGGACGTTGAAGTGGGAGGTGGTGGCGGACATTTTGGACGTTGAAGTGGGAGGTGGTGGCGGACATTTTGGACGTTGAAGTGGGAGGTGGTGGCGGACATTTTGGACGTTGAAGTGGGAGATGGTGCCGGACATTTTGGACGTTGAAGTGGGAGATGGCGGCGGACATTTTGGACGTTGAAGTGGGAGATGGTGGGGGACCTTTTGGACGTTGAAGTGGGGGACATTTGAGGATTGTAAGGGGCATATATCAAACTGTAAGCGCCACTGATCAGGTGACTATTCGTGAGAAACCTTGAAACGTCCCAGCAAATGCTCCTCCAGCCACCTTCCGTCCCAGTAAACGCTCCTCCAGCCACCTTCCGTCCCAGTAAATGCTCCTCCAGCCACCTTCCGTCCCAGTAAACGCTCCTCCAGCCACCTTCCGTCCCAGTAAATGCTCCTCCAGCCACCTTCCGTCCCAGTAAATGCTCCTCCAGCCACCTTCCGTCCCAGTAAATGCTCCTCCAGCCACCTTCCGTCCCAGTAAATGCTCCTCCAGCCACCTTCCGTCCCAGTAAATGCTCCTCCAGCCACCTTCCGTCCCAGTAAATGCTCCTCCAGCCACCTTCCGTCCCAGTAAATGCTCCTCCAGCCACCTTCCGTCCCAGTAAATGCTCCTCCAGCCACCTTCCGTCCCAGTAAATGCTCCTCCAGCCACCTTCCGTCCCAGTAAATGCTCCTCCAGCCACCTTCCGTCCCAGTAAATGCTCCTCCAGCCACCTTCCGTCCCAGTAAATGCTCCTCCAGCCACCTTCCGTCCCAGTAAATGCTCCTCCAGCCACCTTCCGTCCCAGTAAATGCTCCTCCAGCCACCTTCCGTCCCAGTAAATGCTCCTCCAGCCACCTTCCGTCCCAGTAAATGCTCCTCCAGCCACCTTCCGTCCCAGTAAATGCTCCTCCAGCCACCTTCCGTCCCAGTAAATGCTCCTCCAGCCACCTTCCGTCCCAGTAAATGCTCCTCCAGCCACCTTCCGTCCCAGTAAATGCTCCTCCAGCCACCTTCCGTCCCAGTTAATGTTCCTCCAGCCATCTTCTGTCCCAGTAAAAGTCTCTGGATTACACACTTAAAGCTCTGTCTTTACTGTAAGATTTATATGATGACTTGATTATTAAAGTTTTACTATTTGTGAAAAAGTTGTTAGAGAAATATCTTAGGGAGGTCATCACTGTTTTTTTTAAGGGTGAATTTGAAATGTTTATAATTTGTATTGATATGTTTGATTTCTAGTCTCACCAACTGCAACAGGAGTTTGGGGGACAGAGTGGTGAATCCGCTGATGAAGATTCCAGAATTCTGACAGTTCCACATTCCAATATTACCAAATCCTTGTCCACACCCTCTATACCCGCAGCCATATCGCCAGGTAACGTCTGACATCAGTGTGTTTTATACCAGTATTACCAAATCCTTGTCCACACTCTCTATACCCACAGCCATATCACCAGGTGGTGTCTGACATCAGTGTGTTTTATACCAGTATTACCAAATCCTTGTCTACATCCTCTATACCCACAGCCATATAACCAGGTAACATCTGACATCAGTGTGTTTTATACCAGTATTACCTAATCCTTGTCCACACTCTCTATACACACAGCCATATCACCAGGTGGTGTCTGACATCAGTGTGGTTTATACCAGTATTACCAAATCCTTGTCCACACTCTCTATACTCATAGCCATATCACCAGGTGACGTCTGACATCAGTGTGTTTTATACCAGTATTACCAAATCCCTGTCTACATCCTCTATACCCACAGCCATATCACCAGGTAACATCTGACATCAGTGTGTTTTATACCAGTATTACCAAATCCTTGTCCACACTCTCTATACCCACAGCCATATCACCAGGTAACGTCTGACATCAGTGTGTTTTATACCAGTATTACCAAATCCTTGTCCACACTCTCTATACCCACAGCCATATCACCAGGTAACGTCTGACATCAGTGTGTTTTATACCAGTATTACCAAATCCTTGTCCACACTCTCTATACCCACAGCCATATCACCAGGTAACGTCTGACATCAGTGTGTTTTATACCAGTATTACCAAATCCTTGTCCACACTCTCTATACCCACAGCCATATCACCAGGTAACGTCTGACATCAGTGTGTTTTATACCAGTATTACCAAATCCTTGTCCACACTCTCTATACCCACAGCCATATCACCAGGTAACGTCTGACATCAGTGTGTTTTATACCAGTATTACCAAATCCTTGTCCACACTCTCTATACCCACAGCCATATCACCAGGTAACGTCTGACATCAGTGTGTTTTATACCAGTATTACCAAATCCTTGTCCACACTCTCTATACCCACAGCCATATCACCAGGTAACGTCTGACATCAGTGTGTTTTATACCAGTATTACCAAATCCTTGTCCACACTCTCTATACCCACAGCCATATCACCAGGTAACGTCTGACATCAGTGTGTTTTATACCAGTATTACCAAATCCTTGTCCACACTCTCTATACCCACAGCCATATCACCAGGTAACGTCTGACATCAGTGTGTTTTATACCAGTATTACCAAATCCTTGTCCACACTCTCTATACTCATAGCCATATCACCAGGTGACGTCTGACATCAGTGTGTTTTATACCAGTATTACCAAATCCTTGTCTACATCCTCTATACCCACAGCCATATCACCAGGTAACGTCTGACATCAGTGTGTTTTATACCAGTATTACCAAATCCTTGTCCACATCCTCTATACCCACAGCCATATCGCCAGGTAACGTCTGACATCAGTGTGTTTTATACCAGTATCTTGCTTATTACCAGATAACATGTGAAATCAGTCAGGTTTTCTACAAGTATCTATCGAAATGACGGGTAACATCCTTTATCAGTAACGGTTTTTGCCATCAGCCATATTACCTTGTTGAGGTATGTTGTGTAGATATGACCGTTATACCTGTACCTGTACCTGTATATTAAGAGACATCTGTGTCAACTATTTACTGACTTACATCTTACATTACAGGTGAAAGAAAAGTACACAAAGACCCCAAACAGTAAGTGATGTATACTCTTACCTTCCGCTATCCTTTTTCTCAAAACTTTGTTCCAGTAAATTATATGATTTTTACTATTGTTACCCATTTTTGTTTTAATCTGTTTTGCAATCTTTTCAATTTCATTACAATAAAAGAATTTCTATAAAATGAATTTGAATTTTTTTTCTGAAATGAAATACAATATATATCCTTTACATAAACCTAAACAAGTGTACAGTATACATGCAGTACCATTCATCACAATCATTTAATTTCACTGGAAAGTTTCCAAATAATGGTTAATTTAAAAATATCCCCTCAAATTGACTTACCTGTAGAATCACTAACTCAGTAGAGCCAACTAACCTTCTGATATTCGGTCACCATGGTGACTGATACCTCTGTATTTGGGTGTTTGAGATCCTGACTTTTATGCACTGTCCCTCTACTTGTATACTTTCCTGGGTTGAATTGGTACCCATATGTATGTATGAGACAACTTATTTTTGTAACAGAGCTGGATTTAACCAAGTGATTTTCATGTAATGAAAGCATATTTAAAATAGGGTTTAAATTAGAATAAAAATGTCTAGCACGAGAGAAAACCTTTGGAATAATTTTGTAGTTTGCACTTATGAGGGTGGGGTTGTAAAATAACAGGTGGTCAAATAACAGTTTACTTATCTGACCTCTCAATCCTATCCCCATGTATCATCAGCCAATCTGATATTGGATCCCAAATAATAAACATTGTATTGCTTCTCTTGTATCAATAAAATATTGGTTACTAAAAATATAGTTGGTTTCATATGTCAAGTACCTGTAACTAGCTTGCCAATAGGTTATTTGTCAGAATAGAAGAACTTGTAAAATAAATTATTCATAGCTTTTTACTGAATAAACTTCATATGTCCTGTCTTTATTTGCATTTTTCGCTCACCTGGCCCTATAAGGTCAGGCGAGCTTATGCTGTGGCGCATTGTCAGTCGTCCGTCTGTCGCTTTTAAAGTACACTCTTTCTGAATGGCTGAACAAATTTCAACCAAGTTTGCTATGAAGCATCCTTTGGACCAGAAAATCAAATTTTATATAAAAGAAGAGTGTAGCTCTCTTGGGGGCAGAAGGGCTGGGCCCAAAAGGGGAACATATGAGTTTATATTTAAAAGTTGTCTTAGTACAGATGAAGAGATTTTGACCAATATGACATGGAGTTTACCTAGCCTAGGGATATTCATTGTTGTGTAAATTAAGGATGTGCCCCCACTCCCCCAGGGACAGAGAAAAGTGAAGTCTTTCAAAAAAATCTTCAGTATGAGTGGAGAGATTTTCTTTAAACATTGAACATACCTGGATGAAATGGATTCCGTTTTATATTAATTAAAGATGTAGCTCTTCCTGAGAGCATAGTAGAGGGGTTAAAAAGGGGGCATAGTAGAGGGGTTAAAAAGGGGGAAATCCGACAAACCTTAAAACATTTGATCAAATGATGCAAATGATCATCTCGTCACAAGTTTTTACAAGTTGATTTGAAATCTGAAACGGATATTCATTGTCTTCTGATTATATTAGCCAAGACATTTTTGACTAATTTTCAATTCTACAAGATCAGTATTACCTAATGGCATAAAATGGTCCTGTCATTGCTCTTACTAAATCTGTCTTAATTCATGGTCTAAAGTTTGGAGAGTGATTTAAAATTGTTATATAGTTCAGATAACAAAAGAAACAGGTGAGTGATACAGGCCGATGGACCTCTTGTTCTTTATATCGATTTATTTCCATGGATGTATAAGCATTTAAAGTTACGGGATGTAAAACTTTTATGTTTTCGTTTTAATGCACAGAAGAGCAAAGCTTTATCGGTATGTTGTTAGACACGGTATAGTCGGGCTGTAGGTATATATATATATATAAATGTATTTTATTTTGCCTTGAGCAGTTGAAGGTTTATCGTTTGGCATTGAATTATTGATAAATGGTTTAGGATGATAGCATCAACATTAGATTGTTTTAATGTCTTTGTTTTCGAAACGTTGCCATTAATACATCAGTATTTAGCAACAGTGTAATTTATTAATTAAAACATGATACATTTTTTGCATGAGGTATTGGGTTATTATTTTTCTAGACATTTTTATTTTTCTCTTCTTTTTTCCATATCCTCCTCTGACTTCCCAATTTGCCACAAAGAAAAAAGTTGAGAAAGTTTGATCGGTACACATATTTTTGTTTTTATTTCGGCCATTGTGTGACAGTTGGTTGTTGTTTTACACAGAATGTGCTGTGGAATGATACCCAAACTCTCTATCCCTTAAATTATGTGTGTGTGATATTTTGTTGGTCCATTGGTTTTTGTCTTATTGTGGGGTTATTTTCAGAAATGATGTTCCAACTTACCTCCTCATACAAAAACTCATTGAGGAACATGAGTGAGTGGAGTTTTCATGTCGTTTTCTTATAATTTACATACAATGCAAATCTTATTGCTTTGTTTTGCAACATCCTTAGACAAAAAAATATCTGTTATGTAGTTCAAGGGAAGTAATTCCCACGAAAGTTGCAAAACAATGTCATAAGGTTCGTGTCAGTATATATATACATGTGGCTGCTTTTCATTCAGATACAGTTAATGAGATATTTGTTTCAAACAAGATCTGAAAAAATAGTACAAACCGTTTTGAAATAAATAATTTTGGAACAATCTCATGGATAAATCTGTATCACTATAAAGTTTGTAAGCAACTGCATTTTGCATGTGGAATGTGTAGAGACATACCTAACTATCCTGTGCATGACTTTGACACGTTTGTGTGTGATATTGGCGCATGTTAACTAATGCATGTTTGTATGCATGCCTCCATGTGTTCCCAGCATGTTGTGGAGTCCCAGTGCCCTGAATGCTTGCCTATTTAATTGCTCACAAACCAAGCACCTGTTTCTCTCTACGTCATCAGTGTTAACTAGTGCTGCTGTCACAGAACGTGTGCTCTTTTTAGGATGGAGATTCAGTTCTAGTCTGTGAATGATATTTCTGATCTATTAAGATCCTCTCAACAACATCACTAAATGTCCTACTTTGAATTATTCCAATTTCAATTTTTTATCACAAAGAAAAAGAAAAACCACGAAATAAAATCAGATTCACAGACATTAAAATGAGAAAAACAAAAGTTGTGTTTAGGTCCCTGTTTTGTGCCTGTGTAACACTTTTTAAGTGTATTCGTGTCTAATTGTGAATGTTATTTAATTTCTCACAGCTGTTCAATGTATTGTTATGCATCTACAGTCCTCTGACATTTGTATGGATAATCTCTCGCTCCGAAAATCAATTGATTATAATCTTGAGCCTTAGTGTTAAATTCCTGAAGCTTCAGACTGAAACCTCTTTGATTTCCTCGTCTTTTGTCTACTCTGAGTCAAAGCTAAATGAAAATGATCAAGTCTGTCTTCACTTTTATCATTGCATTTTGACATTTTAAAAGAAACTTGGAATTTAAAGGTACACAACTTAATATAGAAAAAAAAATATTCTTTTTCATTTGAAGATTAGAGAAGAAAACGGTTTTGTGAAAGATAAATTAGAATTATAAAAAAAAAATACATCCATATGTAAGATAAGAATGTAATAAAAGCAAAGAGCATGACCGTTTTTACTAATACTCCAGCTATCAGCTAGTGTCTTAGTCTGCTCTGTCAACAGATCAAGTCAACTGACTGCTCTAGCTTCCTCGACAATTCGTTTTCATTCCTCTTTCCACAGATAGAAAGTAAAACTCTGTTTCACTGTTCATAGAGAAATTCATCAAAACAGTTTTTCTCTAGATATAAAATTATTAAGTGTAGTATCATGACCTTTGACCTGTTCTTTTAGTGCACAATTTCGTCGTCAAGATGAAATAGAGGAAGACGACGATGAGAATACAAATCGCCTTCTTGGACAAAGCGACAGTCGGAGGCGGTCACAGGTGTCCCTCATTGACTTTCTGGCCGAGTAAGTGGGGCTCGTACACGAGATTGGGGGGG